ATTGCCTGTATCCACTTTTGTCTCCTTTACGGCTGTATTTCTCCCCAGTCCGTGCGTGTAAGTCAGTTTATTTTCGCTCGCTGTTTTACCGCTGTCCTTTTAAGGATCCTGTAATAAAATAGCCTGCAAAAACTGAACTTTGCTGTCCACCTCATGATCTCTTTGCCACTCAAGTGTCATAATATTCTATTCGACCAGTGACGTTCATATCTATAAAATCTGGCCAGAAGACCAATCTTTCATTTTTCCACAAAATAAAAAATTATGTATATTTTTCCTGCTAATAAGCTGGGAGGTTGTTTCACTGCCAGCACTGGTGATATTAGACAAAACTATATTGGATATGGACTGAATTTTCCAAGTATGTGAAAGGTTTGGATGTGATAGCCCGTTTGACTTTGGTTGACATTACGGATCCAAATTCTGAGACCAGCTTTTCTGTGGTGCCGTGCTGGAGTCAATTTTTCTCTGGCTCAGGGCCAGTTTTTTGTGTTGGAAAAGTGTAGAACCAGTTCTGGATTTGAAAAAACCCAGGCATGACTCCGGCACTGAGTTGGTGGAAACAAGGTAACAGGGAACAGCTAATTTAATCAGAGTTCAGCATGAACAAACACCATAGGAGACAATTATCCAAAAGGACATTCGTTGTTTTGTGGTTACACATCAATCTCGCATTTCAGACCAATTGTAAAGAAGCAGAACCACCTCCAGGACTTGAATCTAAAACTTTTTCCACTTTAAATCCCATATTCTATTGAACTACCAATTGATTTAAAATGGGGAACAATAGGATGCTCTCTCGCTCTATGGCTGTTTTTCAGATTGTTATTGATGCCTGTGTTGCATGACAGACTGACATTATCCTTTCATCCTTTTAATAAGACATACTGAAATTGTAAAAAGAAAGTTTTTAATAAAAAAAAGAGACTTTACAATTGAGAGCATTTCAAAAGGAAAATGATTTTGAACATTTATTGGCTCAAAACAGTTTTAGATGGTATTTTGCAATGGAAAACTTTCTCCGGCTATATAAGTGGTTAGTCATATCTGCTTTTCAACCCAATTACATGGTCTTAGGAATAGTGAAACTGTCTTCCATTGCGGCAGATGGAGTTATTAAGTCTGAGTCTGAGTGACTGTGATAAAACCCGTAACCTTTACCTTGTGGGGACACTGGGTCTTGTATTTCGTTTGGTTACTTATGGTTAAGGTTAGGATTAGGTTAGGATTAGGGTTAGGTACGGGTTAAGGTCGTCATGTTGTGATCCACGTAATTTCCCCATTAAAATGAATGGAGTCCCCACAAAGATATAATTACAAACCTGTGTGTGTGTGTGTGTGTGTGTGTGAGAGAGAGAGAGAGACTTGTAAAAATACCAAACATCCAAGAGATGTGGCGGAATTGCTGAAAGCCAAGAGGTGCTGCATGTACAAACATCACCTTCAGTGGATGTAGTTATATGTGGTGCCTTAAACATCCAGAGTAACATCCAGAAGACAAGCAGGACACGGGAAATTCCGCAGTTTTGCTCCTACAAGGTGAGGTACGTGAGTGTGGCTGATCTCAGTCTGCCGAGGCTCCACCTGAAGGCACCAGAGATAAACCCCAGCCTTCCCGTCCTGCCCCCACCACCCGAAGCCAAGCGTGACCCCAGGGGGGGTTAAAACCCCCCATGCATTTCTTACCATGTGCATTTCATTGCGCTTCTGATGCCATCTGGGGTGGATGAGTGTCACACGGCGGCCTGTGACTGCGAGGTGACATCTGCCTGAGGCAAAGGATGGAGGGGGGGGGGGCTTGGATGTGGCACATGGCCCGTTCAGCCTCGAGTGCCGCCGGTCGATATGCTGTTCTAATCCCCGATTAGCTCTAGGCGAGACTAACAACCCCGAGGCGGCCAATGGATCTGGAAGGTAAGTGTTGAGGGTTCAGTCCCTCCCACGTGCGCCAGCTATGATCAGGGCCCACATTTCAGAATTTTCCACCATGCAATAAAAAAAAAAAACCTCGTGTGCCTGCTGTGATCCATAACGCAGATGAAAAGGCAATCGTATGTCCTTTATGGCAGCGCCTTATATTCCCAGAAAACAAGGAGGTGGGTATTTAACATCCACACATCCGTGATGACACAGATCATCTGCAGGTAGCAGGTGTCACCGCAATCCAGTGACAATCCAGTGCAATCCAGTGACACGCCAGCCAGCCACTTGCAAGAAGCCGGTCGACTGAAAGACAAATCGAGTCACATATTGCCTTTAAAGAGGGCAAATGTATGCTGGCAAAGGAGTGTGCAAGGTGGCGGAATCATGAATTTTTCCCTGTAATGTTTCACTTCAGCAGAGTGGAGTGAGAGCGCGTCTCTCTGCGTGCGAATGCCACCCAACACCCAGCATGTCACGGCGCTTCAAAAGGACAACGAGCGTCTGATTGGATTAATGGTTAAGAGCCCATTTCAGACGCTAAACGGCAGGAATGGCGTTAACGGGCCGAATGGTGTATTTAGCCTTAAGGGGTTGGGGGACATTTGTGTGCTTTTAGTGATTAAGCAAACAAAAAGGCCACCTGAAACACTCAGGCGGTGCCCCCTCTGAACCGCACTGTCCCGGGGCGCCATCCTGACAGCACTTCATCCCCGGAAGGTTCTGTGGCGCCTCACATAGGGAGCGCACTTTCATCTCGGCCCGGTTGCCTTCACGCCGCCCTCAGGAGCGATCTGAGCTGTGAAGAGCGGCACCGGGGGCAGCCAGAAATAGACCCCGCTCTCCGCCGAGCAGACATGAGTCATGCGGCGCACTCGCTCCGTCTCCGAAATGCCGGGACGCGACAGAACGCCGCGCCCTGCCCCCAGAGACAGCCGTCTGCAGTGCGACGTGCGACGTGCGACTGGGGCCTGATGCTCCCCACATCGACCGGGAGCTTCTCCAGGCTGCTCTCGGAGGAGTCGACAGCCCGCTGCGCCTGGCAATTGCAGGGATCCCCCAGGTGGCAAAGTGCGGGGGCGATCCCCACATCAGAAATGCTGAAACGTGAGCAACCCCCGCCCCCCCACCTCCACCTGGAACTGAGACCCCATCAGGAAATGCAAAATTGTAAGACACTCCTGCCTGATAGAAAACATGGGCTTCGGATCACCTGGGGGTTAGAAAGAGGTCACTCCGTGACCCCGGGGTCAAGCGTCTGAAGCGTGTAGCGTTCCCCTGACAGCAGCCAGCAAACAGGGTGGGGGGGGGGGAAACCATGACCATGACACCCCACCATCACGGTGCACCCAGCCTGGGCAGTCAGACACAAGCGGCAGGAGGAGGAGCGCCCCCACCCGCCCCCCGCCTCCACCTCAAAGGGAGATTGACAAGGGAACAAAGCCCCCCCTTGGGGACCTGTATGTAGATCAGTCAGAGCTATTGTGGAAGCTGCCTCCCCCACAGGGTAACAGGTGATGTTAACCACGAAAGGCTTCCTGGGATGAAAGGTAGCCTGAAGCTTTGAGATTAGAATATTCCGGGGTGAGATGCAGACCACAGTACCGCCGCGACGCCACAGAGAACTACGTGGGCCAGCACCAAGGTGTCTGACTTTCCAGAAATAACATCGGCTTGGCAAAAGCCGGACCACCCCAGTCATGTCTGATTAGCCCATCAGTGAAACGCCATTGGCAGCCAAGCGCTAATCCTGGCAGCGGCAGTGCAGCCCAGAAACACATAGGATACGTTTAAAACAGAAAGGCAGCCACCTCACATGCCTTCCTGGGCACTTTATCCCAGTTTAAACGCTCTTATTGACTCAGACAGGAAACAGAAAAAAATATCTGACGCGGAACCTGGCAATCCTAAAGTAAGAAACAGGTTTAGAATCAATGAAACGCTTTCTAACACCTGCAAATTGCTGACTACATGATCTTCTTACATGCCGACTGAAGGTCATCGGGGGGGGGGGGGGGGGGGCTGACTGAGGAATACATAACTAAAGAACGGGGTCACACTCACAAACACGGCCAACCAGCGATTGCCAGATGTGGCTGGGGACCCAGAAACATCGCATCACCCGGGCGGCTGTCCAGCGATGGCTGGCATAGAATGTGTGCCAGGGCGTGAGGAAGGACGGGGTAGGCGTGGCCACATGGGAACCCGGAGATAGCCCGCCGGCCCGCTGTCAGTCTCAGATTAGCGAGAACCATGCTGCACAGTCAGGCGACCTGTCCAGAGAGACACCCACTCAATGCCCATTCACCTCTGCTGCTCGCTGAAGACACAGCACTTTGAGCCCTGCCACCAGATTGCCGAAAGGAATGAGAAAAATCTACTGGCAAATTTATAAGCCATCAGTTAGCCTTTCAATACCAAATACCTACAGCAGGACAATCTTCTTACAATCTTGGCTATAAGGGCATTACACACTGAAAGAGAAGACAGACTAGAGCACTGTTTATAGTATTTTTATCTTACCAGAAATGCCCATCTAATGTAGTGTTCAGTGTTACCTGGCACCTATGGTAGGAGGGTCAGGACACAAGGTCATGCTCTAACCTTAACCATAAGTAACAAAACATAAAACCAGACCTTTGGCATTTTTAGTTTTTTGATTGCATTCAAAATCTTTGTGAGGACCTGAAAACGGTCCCCATAATGTCAAAATAACAGGTTGTTATCATATTGTGGGGAACATTTCGTCCCCACAATGTAATATAAACATAATCCATACACACACACACACACACACACACACAGACACACACACACACTGACCAATTTAGAGAGAGATATGTTACAGCAACAAAAAGCAAATCTAAAAACTGATCCTTAAAGTAATAGAATTAATGAAATGAATGTATATGCGGACCCAGAAGTGGATGAAAGACACTCGGGCTGACAGGAGAGCAGAATCGTGGGGTCCATTAGCGCGACGTTGGCTGTGACCCCAGCCTGTTATCGTGCGACTTCTTCTTGTTATCAGTAATTCAAATCAGCCGTGAGGGCAGATTAATAAGCACAGCCCGTCCGTCTGCTGGGGGAGCGACACGCTTTGAAGATACGGCGCGGCGAAAAGACATTCCAGTAAGTGCTGGTAATTAATAACACGAAAACAAAATGATATCTCTATAGTGCAGTTCTGAGTCTAAGAGCCGTCGTATCTGGTTCCATTAGCTGCATCCCGGAGACGTGTGGTAACATCTTATTTCGGTCACCCTTAAGTAGAGAGAGCTGACCTACTGTGGGAGATTCATTAGGTACCAGGGCAACATAATGGAGAGTGGCCACAGAAACCCACCAATCAGGAGTCTCCGCTCCAGGGGGCCTCAAAGCCGTGTGACTTCCACGGCCCCCTCATAGTTAGAGAGCGGGGCAGCGGGAAAACGCTTTCCGTTACCTTCTGAAATAGGACACATCGCTCCCTCGGAACCCCGGCACCCCCACAGAGGGGGGCAGAGCGGGCTTGGAGACGAGCGAGGAGACAGACAAATGAAAAGAGGCGAGAGCAGGGTCAAAAGAGGGCTGGGGATAGTGGAAGGGAGGCCTGTGAGCCAGCGGTTATTTACAGAGAGCGAACCTCTGTGCCCAGCCGTGCCCATCTGGAGATAGCAGAGGCAGATGGTCCCTAATAAACACTCTAAAAAGCTTGCTCCCAGGCAAGGGGGCCCGTGTGCAGAGCCGGCCGCCCAAAACGCTCCCTCTGCCGGGGCGCCGGCCGCCCAAAACGCTCCCTCTGCCGGGGCGCCGCCCGCCCAAAACGCTCCCTCTGCCGGGGCGCCACAGACAGAGTAACAATCTGATTCTCATGCCGTCTCGTGGCACTGTGTGAGTTCGGGCTGTGCCAGGGTGAGAATACAGTAACTGATTCCCTTTTGCCTTCGGTGATTGCCTCTGTGGAGTGAAGTTTAGGTACCAGTCATCTTCGCTGGGCCCTGTAATAGGCTTCTGCAGCCTCTGCATGCACAAAACCTTAGTGCTCATCTTAATCCACATCGCAATGTCTGCCTGAACCTTCATCCCAGTCTTTCTGTTACAGATTCCGACAGTCATAATCTGGAATGCAGAGTCTTTTCCCACTAAACCGCAGACTGAAAGCCTTTGTTCTGCCTTTCCCATGTAAGCCAAACCTTTGCAAGCTGAGCACCGTGTGCGTTCTCTACCCAGAGCAGGTGCACACCCTTCCTTAGGGGCACGTGGGGTACACAAATTAAAGGGGACCCTCTGTGAACGGCCCTTTCAGACACATTCCGGTAGAAGCCGATATCATTAATCAAGTGACTATCACTAATTAATGAGGGCTGACGGCATAATATGGTTCATATTTCAAGGCTCATGCAAGAAACTTGTACTCCGGCAAGCAAAGTCATCAACCGGCTGGACGGAAAAGAAAGACGAAGCGATGGGAGATTATGGGAAAGAGGGGGGCACAGGACGAGGCCTGGGAGAGGAGCAGTGGATCCCAAAGGAAACGAGGGAAGGGACACAAGGAGGGGGTGAGTAGTAAGCAGGGTGGGGGACCGTGAGGCATGAGGAACCGGCCAGGCCTGCATGAGATGGGAGGGCAAATCGCGCACAAACATCAAGAGAGCGGGATAATTAAAGCTCGTCGCCTTTGATTAAATAAACAGGAGGGCCCCTCTAATCGCCGAGCAGTAAGTGTGTTATTTATAATTCCAGCTCTTCAGTCTACCCTGGCAATTATCAGCTAGAATACATGCATATTTGATCAGGAGGCTCAGTGGTGCCAAGGACCACACCCACTCCCCGGGCTCCCCTCTGGAGATCAGGATGCACCAAGCTGGCTCAAAACAGTGCCAGGCAGCTGATGCTTAATGTTACCGTTACGTTCTGATTAGGCCGCGGCAACGTTACGGCATCATACAAACACTGGGCTCTGTACCACTTCGCGAAGACAGTAGATGCTTCCCCAGAACATGCTTGCCCACTATTTTGGTAACACCTCCTCCTCTGCCTCCTGGCTCATACCCACCTGAGTGCTCCTCCATGGCCGAATCTAAAACCTGAACCATAGCTCATTGATATCTGCTCATAAACATGAGGAGGGGCTGTTTGCAGGGGCAGCGATCTACTCATGGGAATTTTACTTACATAAAAATGTTCTGAGGGCAGAACTAAAAAAGACCAACCAGACTGTAGAGGAGGTGGGTTCTAGCAACTAGAGGAGGCAGGACCATCAGATGTCTTAGTCCAGCCTCCTCTAGTTGCTTGGACCCACCTCCTCTACAATCTGATTGGTTATCTCTCTGAACCAATCATTTTTCATAAAACCTCAAGAAGCCAGTGATCCAGCCAATAGGAATGAAGAAAAAGAACCCCAAATCCGACCGGCTGCTGCAGGACATCTTACATGGAACTCAGAAATATGCTGTTTAGCACTTTCGATGTTCAGATTTTGAGTAAATGCCACAGAGAGAAACACTGCCCATGGCCCCCCAGCTGCTTCCTGTTTATGGACACACACCTGACACTCAAGCAACAGGGGAACGATTCATGTAAGGGGCACAGGCTGTACCCGGTCCAGCAAGGCACTCAGCTCTGTGAGCCATCAGCTGGGGGAGTGGGCGGGCGCTGTTTCACTGGCACCAACTAGACCGCTGTGGTCACTGCACAGCTGCTCACTCCTCATAAATAGGGGGGAAAGATTTGGCATGGGGGGGGAGTGGCGGTGGTAAGACGCAGCAGAGAGGCAAATGGTGATTTCTTCATTAGTCACAGTAGTGTCAGAGCGATCCTGTGACTGCAGGCTACATGAGACCGTGGAGAGCTTCGGGGATTTTTTGGGGGAGAGAACAGCAATCTGTTCCTGTAGCTACATGTAGTATCACCTGTAGTTCATGGGGGGCTCATGTGTCAGGTAGCACACAAAGATATCACAATCCTTCCCTCTACTCTCACTTTGCATAAAAGCATCAGGTAAATGAGTTAGATCTAAATTCACAACTGCATCAGGCTTCATCCACCCAGATCCCCATCGTCCTTCTGTACAACAACCACACAACTGTATAACTCTACAGCTGGGACATAAGGGTTGGCTCCCAGGAACAAATGAGAAGAACATTATGGAGGTAGAGGGGGCAGTCGAGACTCTGGAAGCAGTGAGATTGGTGGCTGGTCTCGAGCAAGCTTTACGACAGCTCCTAGCATGCGGGTGACCATGAGGAACCAATCTGCCACATAATTACAACGCACTTCTGCTCTGCCTCAGTCACATACAGTATGTACTAGGCATGTAACGATGAATCACAAATCGGTTAACAATCGAACGGGAAAATGAATCGCTTTAGGAGTACTTCAAGAGAAAATTGGTGTAATATTACATTTGATTTGACAACGTCAGTTCGACGTCAGATGTCACTGGGTATTCACGTCGATGTCGCACACCGGGTTTTGGTTTTGACCGAATGCGAGATGGCGAGCGAATTTGAAATTGAGCATGAACTGCCGGGCGGTGCAGTGCCACAGTGGTTAGCACTGCTGCATCACAGCAAGAAGGGCTTGGCTTCGGTCCCGGGTCCTTTCTGTGTGGAGTTTGCACGCTTTCCCCATTTTCACCGGGGGCTCCGGTTTCCTCCCACGGTCCGGGGCGAAAACCACACTGCTCCTCCTGAATCCGAGGTTCGACAATCCGGCGGACCCTCCTCTCCAGAACCCCCAAATAGACCTTACAAGAGAGGCTGAGGAGTGTGATCCCTCTATAGTTGGAGCACACACTCTGGTCCCCCTTCTTAAAGAGGGGGACCACCACCCCGGTCTGCCAGTCCAGAGGCACTGCCCCCGATGTCCACGCGATGCCCTCCACCGACCCAAAACGTCCCGAGTTGAGCTCAGCAGCACCCCATCCCCACCATAAACACTGTTGATGTTGCACCATTTTCCCACCCAGAGCCGCCGGATGGTGCACCAGTATCGCCTCGAAGCCATCCGGAAGTCGTTTTCCATGGCCTCGCCAATACCCGAGTTTTTGCCTCAGCGACCGCCGAAGCCGCACCCCACTTGGCCTGCCGGTACCTGTCAGCTGCCTCTGGAGTCCCACAGACTAAAAAGGCCCGATAGGACTCCTTCAGCTTGACGGCATCCCTCACCACTGGTGTCCACCAGCGGGTTCGGGGATTGCCGCCGCGACAGGCACCGACCACCTTACGGCCACAGCTCCAGTCAGCCGCCTCCACAATGGAGGCGCAGAACATGGCCCATTCGGACTCAATGTCCCCCGCCTCCCCCGGGACATGGGAGAAGTTCTGCCGGAGGTAGGAGTTGAAACTCCTCCTGACAGGGGATTCCGCCAGACGTTCCCAGCAGACCCGCACTATACGATTGGGCCTGCCAGGCCTGGCCGGCTTCCTCCCCCACCAGCGGAGCCAACCCACCACCAGGTGGTGATCGGTTGACAGCTCCGCCCCTCTCTTCACCCGAGTGTCCAAGACATGCGACCGCAAGTCCGATGACACGACTACAAAGTCGATCATCGAACTGCAGCCTAGGGTGTCCTGGTGCCAAGTGCACATATGAACACCCTTATGCCTGAACATGGTGTTCATTATGGACAATCCATGACGAGCACAGAAGTCCAAAACAACAAAACACCGCTTGAGTTCAGATCGGGGGGGCCGTTCCTCCCAATCACGCCACTCCAGGTCTCACTGTCATTGCCCACATGGGCATTGAAGTCCCCCAGTAGAACAAGAGAGTCCCCAGGAGGAGTGCTCTCCAACACCCCTCTCCAGGGACTCTAAAAAGGGTGGGTATTCTGAACTGCCAACAAACAACAGTCAGGATCCGTCCCTCCACCCAAAGGCGAAGGGAGGCTACCCTCTCATCCACTGTGGTAAACCCCAATGTACAGGCGCCCAGCCAGGGGGCAATAAGTATTCCCACCCCCGCTCGGCGCCTCTCCCCGTGAGCAACTCCAGAGTGGAAGAGGGTCCAACCCCCTTCGAGGAGACTGGTTCCAGAGCCCAGGCCATGCGTTGAGGTGAGCACGACTATGTCTAGCTGGACCTTCACGACTTCGCGCACAAGCTCAGGCTCCTTCCCCATCAGAGAGGTGACATTCCATGTCCCAAGAGCTAGCTTCTGCAGCCGAGGATCGGACCGCCAAGGTCCCCGCCTTCGGCCACTGCCCAACTCACATCGCACCCGACTCCTATGGCCCCTCCTACAGTATGGGTGGTGAGCCCATTGGAGGGGGGACCCATGTCCCTTGTTCGGGCTGTGCCCGACCAGGCCCCATGAGTACAGGCCTGGCCACCAGGCGCTCGCCATCGAGCCCCACCCCCAGGCCTGGCTCCAGGGGGGGGCCCCGGTGACCCGTGTCCAGGCAAGGGAAACCGTGGTTCCATTATTTTGTGCATCATTAGGGGTCTTGTGAGCCGCACTTTGTCTGGTTCCTCACCCAGGACCTGTTTGCCTTGGGTGACCCTACCAGGCGCATAAAGCCCCGGGCAACTTAGCTCCTGGGATCATTGGAACACGCAAACCCCTCCACCACGATAAGGTGTCGGCTCCAGGAGAGGAGTTTTATTATTTTTTTTATTTACTTAAAAAAAAAAAATCCCAAATCTAGATAAATAAGTTTTTTTATTTACTTATTTTGATTTGGGATTTTTTTTAAAACAGTATTTCATTCAATTGCAGTTGCACTGTTAAGAAGACGTGTTTTGCACAGTTTAGAAAGATAAATAAAGGGATATTTTTTTATAAATTTGTCTGCAGCTCATTCTGTTAAAAAAATCGTGAGAAAATTATATCGTGAACTGAGAATCGTGAATCGGATTGACTCGTGAGTTGAGTGTATCGCTACATTCCTAGCATGTACAGTACACATATGAGTTGCGTTCACACTGCAGTCCTTTCCTCTTCATCCTGAGCACATGTGGCCACGTTTACTTTCACTCAACGCTACCTCTTCTTACGAGCTAGGGACGGGGGCTAGAAGGGGAGAGGAATAACCATTATGGGGGAGTATGTAGCTCGGTGGGACAGGAATCTGCACCCGTGTCCGGAGGGTTGTGGATTCAAATCCCATGCCTGGCAGACAAATAATATGACAAATTGACAAAACTGCATGAAGAATTACAGCCCACGATAGCAGTGGTGCTAATTAGAAAGCAACAGAGTCCTTCTGGCTGAGCAGATGCTCCTCTGCTGTCCTAAGGGCATTCACAGCCCCGCCCTCATTCTCACCACCGCTGTGGGCTTATTGAAATCCTGGCACAACCCTCCAGTCATGAGCTCATCTGCTGTTTCTTTCATGCAGCCCATCAACCTCCTGGTATTTCAGCTTCATGTCACGCAATCGACCAAAGCCCAGTGACATCTCTCTAAGAGGGGCCACCCAGGCTGGCTGAGTCAGGTCCACGAGCGGCACAAGGTGAACCGGGACTGGAATGCCCTGCGGTTCATCCTAAATGGAGGTGAGGTTCCACTCGTATCAGCTAGCAGACAGCCACGTCCTGAGTCTCCGCAAACGGCCCGAGTGCTTCCCACGTGTTTCCCACGTGGCTGCACAGCTCAAAGGCTACGAAATGGAGGGCTGAGACATTCGCCACCGAACCAGGAAACAGACTTGGAGGCCTCCCACTATACCGGCCCCCACACCTGACGTGCCAGCTAGTCTGCGCTTACTGGTAAGGATGGAGACCACCTAGCCGGTACTGGGCAGCTTTCCTCCTCCTGTCGTTCAGCCTGACCTTGCAGAGCAACGCTCCAGTCTAATGCTAATACTGAATTCTGGAAGCTCCCAAACAGATCCTAAAGCAGCAAGACTTCAGAACCGGGATGGGTAGGAACCAAACACCCAAAGCTTAAGCAGCCTAAACTTAAGCCTGGAGAGATCCACCTCAGAGAGCTCCACAGCAGCATCAGGGCGCTTCATCACCGCTAACGAGCACTCAGCTTAATTACTACTAATTAACAGGCCAATCCATTTCTTCAGGGCAGCGCTCCGTCAGCCTGACGTATCATATAAGCGAGCACGAGGCCCAGATAGACAGTAATATTCATGGATAGAGCCTTTAGTGATTAATGCTGCATCTCCTGCTTCCCTCAGACAATACGCTCGCTGTCGTGTTTATGAGCGCGGCATGTGGCAGCTGTGAAATATTAAGATGCCGTCTATTGAATTAGACCGGCAAACATTTGCACTAATCCCCATTATAAACAATTAAACAGACAGAACAAGGCAGCTTGACGGCAGCTCGGGCTCTTGAATAGGTATCATCGTTATTACGGCATTCGAGGAACGAGCAGAAGCCCGGATCTGCGTTGGCGCCGCGAGCTGAAGGACCGAAAAAGGGATCTGGCAGGGAGGTCTCCGCGGAAATGCAGCAGGCTCTGGCTGCGAGCTCACGGCACACATCCTGATGCCGTCAGCTCGCACGGAAAACACTAACAATCGTTACAAATCAGCCGGTAGGCAGGGGGTGGGGGTGGAGGGGGGGGGTTTGTAAATGTCTGAATTATAATGTAGGTCGTGACTAGCAAACACTGAGCTGATACATATCAAATGCTTTCAGCAGGAGTGAAAAGGTCCGGGCGGTTCAGACGCTAGTCGTCCATCGGGATGCCCCTCAGAGGGGCCCTCAGCCAGTGGGGGTCACCACCTGAGAGGCAGGTTGGAGAGGTGGGAATGCAATGGCCGGTTTACAGCAGCCGGGGACGCGATGTGGAGCACCTGAGCCTGTGACACCGTCATGCAGCTGGGGGCAGGAAGCATGCCTCTCACCCACTCCATCTTTTCACAGTGAATCAACCCAGTGAAAGCCCTTGGAGGAAAAAAAAAATAAAAAATCAGCCAACGATCAATTGCTTTCGTCTCTGCTTCCATCCCACTTTACCGGCATTATGAATGTTAATCCAGATGAAAGACGGCAAATTTACCCAGGGCATCCCTCCACGCCTCCATCCCACTTTGGCAAGTGTATTTTATTAATGTATGGAGGAACTGCAAGACTGAATGGGCTTTTGTTTACATGCCTGCCGTGTCAGCCATGCCGTGTAGAGTGCTCAAGGCCAAACGCCACCATAGGAATGTTGCCATGAGAACAGCTGTATCCCAATGCCTGCCGAGAGTGAGGCCTGGCATCTCAGGTCTCGTTCTGTCTTCCTCGCTTGGCGTCGGGTGTGGGGTGATCAGATTTCGCTCATGACTAATAAGCATTCATCGCTGTGCGATTTATGCCCTGCCGATCAATGCTGGAGTTGCAACTTGATATGCTTGGACATAAAGATGCCTGATCGCTATGGCAATGCCTGGGCAGACAGATCGAGATGTGGGAGAACTGGCGTCCGCTTTAGGTGCTTTCACATTGAAGTTCAGGAACCTGGTTCCAAGTTCCTGAGCCGTCTCAACCAGGAACTTTTGTAGCTCCTGGCCACTTTTGTGTGCCATTTTCTCACAGCGCAACAGAAATTGTTACCTTTAGGCTAAATAAGCCTGAGAGACTTGTAGCTTGTAGGTAAAACTTCACTCGTAATTTCACTTGAAACTATACCACCCCAAAACAATGGAAGGATGAACAAGTCATTTTGTTAGTTGTTAGTCCGAAAATACAGGACAAATCAGGACAGCATTTTATTTACGTTATTTATATGGTCGCGTCTGTAAGTCATTCAGAAATCTGGCCACCAGATCAATCTTTCATTTTCCACAGAATAAAAGCGATGTAATGTTATTCTGCTAATAAGTGCTAGCAAGTCTCACCACTGGGATCGGTGAGATTAGACAAAAATATACCTGTTATTGGTTTAATTTTTTGATTCAGAAATAAAGAGTTGCAAGCAAAAAATGTATTTATTAATGCACTTACTGTAATTGAGATACAAACATAGTCTTCCATCTGCTCAATTTTTGTTCCAATACTTCTCTTTTCCCTAAGCTTCTGCCTTACTGCCAAGTTAGTGCCAGTGCTTGTGGTCCACCAATCAGCAAAGTTTATCGCTGTAACCTCCACCCAGTAGTACCTGATCAAGAGAAAAGTACCTATTCCAGAGTAGGGACTAAAAAAGGATCCGGAACTACAATCAGTTCCTGTAGTGGAAATGCAACGGAAGTTCCTGGTTTCTAAAAAATATCCTGGTTCCTGAAAGAAAGTTCCTGCAGTGAGAAAAGGCCTTTTAACCACAGATACGAGCCACTGGGCGGCCCGGTTCGCCTAGGCTGGAAGGTTAGTTGGCCAACTCTAGAATGATTGACCACCGACTCCGGCACACGGCGCAGTGTTACATTCCCCAAGATTTATGTGCCACATTTCCCTACCCACCGAATCATTCCGAGCACTATTATTAATTCCATTGTTCCTCGCCACGTGCTCACTGCTGAAAGGATGAAGAATAGCCATCGTCATAATTAAATCTGAATCGTCGGTGCTGGCCACGCCTGGATGGAGAGGGACTCTTCTGACACGTCAGAGAGGTCTATCCCACACAAAGTAAAAGAGGTGCAGGCTTCAAGGTCAGGTCAACGTCAACCAGAGATACACAAATTATCATCCATCCATAATCGCTTTATCAATACTGAGTCATGGGTGAGTCTGGAGTCTAATCCAGAACACACAGGACAGCAGGCAGGGAAATCCTTGGATGGTATGCCAGGCTATCACAGGACACACACTCACACACTATGGGCACTTTGCAGACACCGATCCACCTTAAAGGCATTGTTAGGACCGGGGTTGATTCCAAGAAGGGCCACAATTCATATACAGAGGCCAACCTTATCAGTAGCCAATGATATGTGTCGAATCGGTGTGTGACAGAGGAGGGGGCACTTCAGGGCACTCCCCCCCCCCCCCCTGCCCATTCACCCCCCGCTTTGGACCGGAGGAGGAAACCACAGAAGAGACCCATACAAATATGAGTAGAGAATGCAAAATACATGCAGGATGTAAGAGGCAAGACATTTCTACCTTATAAAATCGTGAACTTGAACTCCCCCCGCAGTCAGGCATGTAGTGGCCAGGCAGTAAAAGTACAAGTTTGAACCCCCATCCAAATTTTCTTCAGTCACCCCATTCTATGAAATCTATGGCGGAGGACCCCCCTCCCCAGTCGGCAAAATCTACCAAGAGGGACCTATCGGACTCCCCACAACATTTCTGGCTACAGGCCTGGACTGAGGCCAAATCAGTAACCACAAGAGGAGACATGGGGGGGGGGCTCACAGACTGATTTAGAGAGAAGCGCTGTTGAAACACCCGGGTGAAGCAGGGGCTTATCCACATTCGGCCACTTGAAATTCCCACAAGCACCGAGGAAGGTACTTAGAACCCCAGAGTACAGCAATCTGTTCAAATGCGTCGAGTTAAATCCACTTCGCTGACGTATCTACTGTCAATACTCTGCGTGCCGTCGGGTCGAACTTTCATCACCATGGCTACACCACTGTTTGTTTCCAGTGACAGACAGTCTTCTCTAAATTGGTCTCTGGTTTAATCAACCAAGGGTGAGTTTCCCGAAGCCTTCTTAACGCTACGTCGTTCGTTAGTTCTATCTTTTAACACAGAACTTAAGAACGACGTAGCGTTAAGAACGCTTCGGGAAACTCACCCCAAATCAGCTAAAAGAAAAATACCCATACCCCTTTTTTGAACAGAAATGGCTAAGTTATTAAATTTCACCAAAACACCTGTGCTGCTGCAGAATGTGAAGCAACTTAATTGATTAGAATAAACCAATAATTACTGAACTAGTTTCCTCAAGCAGTCACTCTTACAATCTGCACTGAGCACGTTACACAAAAACATCACTTGCTTATCTCTGTAACTGTGATGCAATCCCCAAATTTTTTTTAAACATAACCTCGAATTTAAATATTGGGTCTCAGAACTTCTTGCACTTGGCAAACATCAGCTTGCAGGAACACCATCGTATTACACCTAATATTAGCAGCTTAGCTAAGCCGTCCATAGGTGTGAATGTGTGCGACAGGTGATGGCTGGTGCCCCGCCCTGGGTTATTCTCTGCCTTGAGCCGACAACTTCCAGGATAGACTCTGGACCTCCGCAACCCTGCAATGGGCAAGTGGGTATGGAAAATGGAGATAAATTAGTAACCTACTCGACACAAAACACATCTTCCAAAAGATGGAAGGAGCATCATGTTACTGACCCATACAGCAGAGCCACCAAGGAGCCTGACGTGCGACAAACTTCTCCCTGAAGGCCGACTAGCAGAGATCCCAGCCAGGCAAACTCCAGCCTCATGGCAAACCAGACAATCCTCAGAGGAGTGGCCAAAATCAGGTTCATTCTCAGAGTTCCCCCGCTGCAGTACTTAGTGAGAGACCTTCACATACAGGAATCTCCCTTCTATTCACAGCGTCACAGGGAAATGAGGCCCGAGATACAAGAGGCAAGTCAAATCTGCCATATGCTGCCAGAGGGATCCTTCCCATACCACTGTACATGCTCTTCAAACAGGAAAAAATGACTCAGGATAAAGAGTGTTAAGCAAATGAAATTAATTAGAAAAGGACACTGACAGGAATGCTTCTGAAATCCATGCGAGAGTACAGTGGCAGATCAGGGTGGGTGACAGGGAGAGCCAGCGCTGGACAAAGCACTGCAGTCAGAGAAGCCAAACCTTCAGGAGTTGTGTCTGAACCCGCCTGCCCTCGTTACCTACCCCCAGCGCCAGTCCTATCCATCAGCCAACCTCTACCGTCCTCACAGGGTCCACATGGCACCAGGCATCCGGGCTGGCTGGACCCGGGATGGTGCCATGGGGATCCACTGAGCAGTGATATCTGTCGTTACCCTTCCTTTCCGCAGATGGTGTCCATCTTCTAGAGATTCTTCAAAGAGGTACGGTTAAAATTTGTTTTCTATATCACTGGAAAAATAAAGAGTATATGTCCCAGCCGCCAGGTGAGTGTGTGGATTGCATCCAGCCCCTCATCGACGGCCATCTTCAGCCACATAATTCCATTACAGCAGTAATGCCAATTCCAGTAACAGCAAGATTAGTCCATTAGCGAAATCGCTAAGTGGGAAGAGGAGGAGATGTGTCCACTTATTCTAGGGCTTTGCGGCAAAGAACGGCACCATTGGGCAGTACTGGGTCCGCCCGATGGTGAGGGCCTGGGTGGGGCAGTACAGGAGTTTGTCCAGGATGCCCTGCTTCAGTTGCACAGGGCTCCTGTCCATCTGCAGGGGAACTGAAACAGTAAGTGACAGGTCTATACACCCTGGCTGCCCAAGATCAGAAGGTTCCGCACCTCTGGAAACCAGCACAGCGTAGCAGACAGGAACATTAGCCCATTAAACCAAAGACCCAAGTCCCATGTGCTAGCTGGCTGGTGTTCTGGGGATGACATCACCTCAAGGGATTCTCCTAAGCTCAATTAATTCCTCTGCACAAGCAAACATTTTTAACGAGAACTGATTGCCATTAGGTTCTGTATTCAATTATTTTTGTGTCACGTCTGACGATGCCTAACGCTGCATAATTCACTCCTGCAATAGCTGTAGTCACCTTTACAATCATTACACAATTCAATAATTATTACTACTGCTATGGCGTCCAGCTGCTTAACTATTTGTTTGTAGGACTGTGGGTGTAGAAAATAAGCTGCACCTCACTGAGAATTAACTGTATGACTGAAGGTGTATGAGACTCAACAGGCTGCTTCCCACGTCACCCTTCCTCGGTCTGCCGTTTCTAGAATAATACACACCCACAATACCTGCTAAATAGCTCAGATATTGCCCTATGTAACAG